ACATCTAATGTATTGAATCCTGAAGATTTAGACCATACCATATTCTTATTCAATCTCTAACTTTTGTAGTCTCCAAATATGAAAAAGGAGAGGCAAACTATGAAGATTATTTATGTGAACAATTGAAGGCCATTAGACAAGATTTAATAGTACAAGGTATTGAAAATGAATTTTCTGTAACTGTTTATGAAACTCATGCAAGATTCGCTTTGCAAAATAGAGATATTAGTGAATTTAATCAATGTCAAACAAGGTTAAGAGACTTGTATAGTAAGAACTTGAAAGGAAATCAAGCAGAATTCTTGATGTATACAATTCTATATTTGACTTTGAATAATTCAACAAGTGAACTTGCAAAAGTTTTGAAAACAATCACGATACCGAAATCAAACGACTATGTGAAATATGCCTTGGAATTTAATTCTGACTTTTCTTTTTTTAATTTTAACAAAATATTTAACACTTTATATCATCAAGCTCCTGCTTTGGGTAAGTCATTAATAGATATTTTTGCAGAAGGTATGAGAAAGAAGGCAATTAGAATAATGTGTCAATCGCACTCTCCAACAACATTAGAAGTTAATTTTGTGTTGAAATGTATTGGATTACCAAATTTGATGAGGAAGGAAAAGAACAACTTTTTAAACAAGATGGGAATTCAATTGAGTTCAGATAACAATAATTTAATTGATTGTAAGAGTACAATGCAAAAATATTTGGAAGAGGAGAATAAATCATCTGTTTAATGAGTTGCACGAAGTTTGATGAGCTCAGCACGCGTCTTTGCCAATTTACCAACTAGAGTGTCAAATCCTAATAATACAATATTTTCTGGAGTTTGCGATCCTGTTGTTTCAACTGTGAAAATAAACTCACGTTTACCTCCTAAATCCTTTTCCTTAATTGATACAAAATCTTTGAATTCTGGTGAAGTATTAGGTATCAATTCATCGTTGACAAAGTCTTTGCATTCATTACAATAGGTGCATTTATCCAAATCAATGATAAGTCTGTCATCATTGGTTACAGAAAATACCTTAGTTGGGCAAGAGTTAATAAATTTGCCAATCCAATCTTTAACATTTTTACGTTCATCTTCTGAAATGCAACTTTCAGTAAAAACGTATGAAGAAAGTGCACGACCAGCAGCAGGTACTTCAGTTTGATTATCTTGGTCGGATGGATTGACTGGAGTATTTTGACATCCTTTAATTCTAATATCAGGAACGATATAATAAGTTGTAATAGCAACAGGAGACCACTTAGCGTGACCTTTTCCTACACCTTTCTTAGCTATGGCCTTTAATTTAATTTCTTGTCCTCTCTTCAATTTAACAATTGTAATACCATTATGTTCATTTTCATTATCACGAGAAGTTGCCGATAATGTACAAGGTGCACAAGAAGGATTATTAGAAATTAAATCGTTACTTGTAACATCTCTGTGTGATTCTGTACACTTGACGTGGAGTGTTAATTCAACAGAACACTTTTCACAATGGCCTGTACAACTACAATCACTAGTATAACTAAAAGAATTAATATTTAAACATGTAAGAGGGATTAATCCTAAACGATGAGCAATAAATTCATCGTGAAGAACACTGCTATTCATTTCAAATTCAACAAGATCGATAGCAAGAGTAGGTACCTCAGCGATCATGATACGTCTTAGGGCATTAGCAATACTAGTATCCACATTAGATAATTTAAATTTACAATACTCATCAGTCAAGGCTAAGATGGAAAGTTGAGCCTTGTTATTGTCTTGATGATAATCGTTCATTTTTTTTAAATTATTTAATTTTTTATTTTTCCATACAACAACCATTTTACCTTCAGTTCTTCTTTCACCAATTTCATTTCTCAAAGGCTTTTTGAAAGAATATTTTCATCATGATGGCAAAGCCTTTGATTTTACTAAGTATATTTCTTTTTTAATGATGGAATGATGAGAATGATGAGGAAGAATTGGGTTGCGGATTTTTAATAGAAGAGAAACGGAGAAGATTATCCTCTTGAGACCATTCAACTCCGAATACTATTAAACAACAACAACAATAATTCATCCAATAGATGAAGCACAACAATAAACACAATATTGTGTGTTTTAATCTCATCATTCAAAAACTTGGTGAGACAATAGCAAAGGTTAAAGCGGACATTGCCACTCAACCAAAGATATAAAAAAATTGAATGAAATGCTCAACGACCATCATCACCACCATCATGATGATGGGCAACAAAATAGCCTTCCATCAAAACAACAACAACAACAGGCTTTAACAACAATACCTCTTTTAACAAGTCAATCATCATCATCACCTCCTCCTTCTCTGATAAACAATGAACAAGTAGTAATAGAAAAGGAATTATTTTGGAGATCAATATTAGGATCAAATTATAAATCATCGATGGAATCATCATTTGCAGATATTAATTTACATCACGATGAAAATGATTTAAATATTGAAATGAATTCTTATAATGATTTTGATGAATATAATATAAAGGAAATTAAAGATTGGTGGATTAAATATCGTGATTCTATTTCAAAATCGGAAAAAGAAAATTCTTTAATTCAACTTGTCACTTTAATATCAGATTCTTTTGATAGTAACTCTGACATTCATTATGTTTTACCTTTTTAGTAAGTATTACCATAATAATAACAATTACAATTAGAATATATTTAATTATTTAAAATATTACAGTAATATGGATATTTCACAACTAGTGACAGATTTATCATTAGAATTAATTAGACATTTTTGTGATTTATTTAAGGAGGAATATAGTGTCACACCTAATAATATTATTAAATTTATTAATAGACATATAACAAATGATGATACCAATTTTGTAAATTCAATTTTGGGAAGAATGGATTTTGAGAAAATTAGAAATTTTTACTTTAAATCAACAAGTGAATATCCATTCTATTCGTATCATGATAGTTTATGTAATTTAATTACTAAATCACTATCATTATTATTGGAAAGTGTAAGTGGGCGTGTTTAGTTTCTAATTTTATTTCTTATTTCTAATAGTGCAATAATATTAATATTATGAATGGACTGAGTACAGTTATTATTACAAGTATGAGATTATCAAGTATTTGGTTTGGATTACCAAAGAATAAAACCATGAATAATGGTGGTGGTCAACAATTAACAATAGAAAATACAAATTATACTATATTAAGTCCTATTCAAGAAAGATTGGCCGAATATATTCAAGTTTATTATACCTATTCAACATCTAGTGAACAATATAAAATCAGAGAAGTATTGACAACGGAGGATACTAATCCATGTATCATTCTATCAAATTTACTTTTACAAATTTCTAAAAAGAGTGTCAATGTGTTTGTTGAAGTATTTCAATGGACAAGTTTGTGGAAGATTGTGATTGATATTTTCAAGAATTTGTCCAAATTTGATGAAGAAAGAATGAATATTGAACATTTTATTCAATTCTGCAATTTTACAAGTTTGTCTTTTGGTAACATGTTTCTTCATGCTTCCAAGGATATTAGAAAATTGATAGAATTGAGTTCATCTAAGGTTTTTATGGAAATGATGCAATATTTGGAACAGTTTGTAAATAGTGCTGAAAATGAATCAAAGAAATTTAAAACTTTGGAAAAGGTTGCAATTTTATATGTGATTGAAATTTATGTTTGGGGTCTCTTTACATCTCTCCATTTAATTCCAAATTTGTTAATTGAATTCCAACATTGTGATGGATATGATTTGCTGAAGAAAGTTTTCTATGCCATTAACAATTCTGAGAAGAGCGAATCATCTCAAGATTGCTTTCTTTTACAATTCCAACAACAAAAAATGTTAACAATATTGCATGTAATGATTAATCTTGTTTTAGAATTGACAACACATATTCAATTGGTTAATCAGGAAGAAGCTATTCAGGAACAACTTGGAAAGTGTAAGAGAAATCAACATGTTTTTGGGCTATTGGTCTATCTTTATAATCATACAGACATGTCCAAGATTGGAAGTGATTTTTTATGTAAAAGAGAGTTATTAGATCACTTACTCTCTAATTTGACACTTTTCCACGAGGAATATTTCAAAATTCTTTACAATAGTGAACCTTTCAAGTATATTTGTGAGAATTTTACTTCTACATCAAAGGAAATGCAAATTCAAGTTTTAAAAACTTTTGATCACTACATTCAATTATTCACTCTATTAGATTCATCTAATGAAACACAAGTTGATGAAAATTTAATATGTAGAGATTTTAATGAGTATCTCAAATTGTTACTGACCAATCATGATATGTTTTTAGACTCAATTATGAGAGTTTGTAATCATTTGATATCTAAAATTCAGGACAAGTCCATTTATCACAAGATTCAACTACTTTTTAGAAATTCAGGATTTACAAAATTAATACTTCAATCTATTGATATCAAACAAAGAAATAATCAAGTTATGGCAAAACTAGTACAACTAATTTATTTATTCTTAGAAGGAAATTTAGATAATCACAAAGATTTTATGGGTCAATTAACTCCAAAGTCAAATCCACTCTACAAATTATTGTATGATGAAGAGTTGATTGGAGAAACATTACCTGTCATCAAAATGATTGTTGTTAATGACAAATCACAAACATGGGACTTTATTATATCAGATTTATTGGAAATTATGTTTATTAACAATCTAGATGAATCTAGTTTCAATTCAATGTACTCTAACATTCATCAATCGCACAATTCAAGTGTTAAATTTTGTGAAAAGCACTTGAGAATGTGTGAAAAAATCTTATGCTGCATTAGAAAAATGTTTTTGGAGAATGAAAATGTAAAGAATTCCTTTAGAAAATGTAAAGGATATGAAAAGATTATCAACTTACTTGTTCTAAATAGTACAAATTTAGAATGTTACGATTTAGTCTTTTCCATTGTCCAATCATGTATTAATTTACTTATACTTTCAATGAATGAGAATTCAGACAATGAGATTTACTTTAAAAAGTTTATTACATTCTCTTCATTATTGTCTCCATTACACAAATGTGGATTTGTTAAGAGTTATGAACATGGTATTAATCTGACTATGAATTTGTTACAATTCTCAGTTATGGACTATGGTTTATATGAACCAAATAATTCTGATAGATTTAGAAAATTAATTGAAGAAAAAGTTCTCTTATTTGAAAATCCTGAAATGATTCCAGAGGTAATTCTTAAATTATATGGTAGAAATCTGAGTGAAATTGATCCAAAGTTATCAAATTTCCTTGTTGATATGCTTTTTAGACTTGTGAAATATTCAACAAACAGACATCGTTTGTCTAGAGCTAAATCTCTTTTAATTCTAATGAAGGAATTTACAACAGTTCTATTGGAGCCTTCTCACTATCTTTCTAATAGAATTACCAAATTATTAATGCTCCTAGGTGCTCACAATTTTTCTCCTCGTGAAATGCAATACTATTTTACATTGTTCACACCTGACAGATTGAATACTATTATTCAATCATCAAATAATAATGGAAATTCCCTCACTAGTACCACTAATTCAAATAGTTTCATTTCAATTTTGAATAGCAGTGGTAACAGTGGTAGTAACAGTAATAGTAATAGTACTGAAATGATTGCAAGTTCACCTCTTCCAATTCTACCTTCCACCAAAACAATTAATAATTTATTGAAGACATTACTTGAATTGGGTGAACAAACTTTTATTCCAAATTATTATATTGACTTTTCTCCTCTCAACAAGGACAAGGTATTCCGATATGATGATTTGACTCAACTCAAGAGTAAGAGATTGAGACTCTTCTCTAGCTCTTCAAGTAAGATGGCTCACGATAGAGAAGAAAGAATTTTACTGAAGAGAACACTTAATACTTTTTCATCAATTTTATTCCCAAAGATGAATTATTCTTCATGGCCGTCCGAGAAGGGACATACAACTACTTTGTGGTTCAGAATTGAAAGTAATTCCAATTCCAAGATTAGTTTATTCAGTTTCTCTTCTCATGTCAATTCAATGGTATTTAATGTTTCAATGACACCTGATATGAAATTGAATATAGAGATGGAAAGAACAAATGAAAAATTAGAATGGACAGAAACATTTTCAAATTATGAATTCAAACTCTATCAGTGGTATTTTATTGGTATTAATCAACAATTAATTCAATTACAAGATAAGATTGAACACAAGTTTGGATTATTTGTAAATGGTTTTCATGTTCAGGAAGTTGTTCATCAAGAATCTATTGACAAATCTATTATGGATATGTTCAAATCATTCTTGAGTTTCTCTCAAACAAGTTTAGAATTTATTGTTATGGGATCAAATGCCTATGACATGTCAAAAACAGTTAATCAAACAATGAAGAGTGTTAATAAGAGATCAGGATCATTGAAATCAACTCTTTCAATCAATACTTCAAATATTGCCTCCAACTCATCAACAAGCGTTGGTCTTCATATTCCTAGTCCAATCAATAATAATAACACTACTAATAATTTATTATTGAATAGTGCTAGGAGTAGTTCCAGTAGTTTGAGTTCAAATACAGCACCAGTACATGGACATAATGCAAATGTAACAGCCCAATCTCCTTCAGATGAAGATAATTCAGCACTAGCTAATCAACAAGAGAAATTATTCACTTGTCCAGCATTCCAACTTGGTAACATGTTCTTTATTGAAGAATGCTTGAATGATGAAGAAATGTACATGATGTATCATTTGGGTCCTAATTATATGGGCAATTTTGATGAAGATTTATCTCAATACTTTTGTAATGAAATGATTAATGAGGAAAGTGTTGTAAAATTCAAGAATAAGATTTACTATATGAAAGATTGCTCAAACAATGTAGGTTTGAGTCAATTAACAAACAGATTTGTTTTTGCATTTTCATCAGTGGATGCTAGTTTAATTACAAGAATAGCTCAACAATCACAATCAAATTCATTGGACAGTGTTGATATTGTTTTTAGTAATAATAAGAAAAAGAAGATGGCTTCCTCCAATACTAGTAGTAGCTCCAGCTCGACATCAAACAGCTCATCCAAGGTTGCAGCTACACCTTCTGATAGTAATGCCTCTACACCAATGTCTGTTGGTTCTCCAACTCCCTCTCCATCAACTGTTACTGCTTCCTCTTCCTCTAATAGCAATAACACTGCTTCTAGTGATGCTAGCTCTTCAAGTAGTAGTGGTAGTGGTAGTGGCAGTGGCAGTAGTAGCAATAGCAATGTTGTTTATAATGTTTCTGATATTAGATCATACATACCTAATAGAAATTACAACAATGCCAATGCACTCAACTATCAAAAGACAACTAATTTTACTTCAATCAAGTGTTACCTTTCTGGTAAAACAACACTTGTATCAAAGTGTACATTTAAGGGTAATTTATATGTTATTGGAGGAATGAAAGCAATTTTAGGTCTTTATGCCAAGATGAAAGATCCATCAAGTAAGATTTACACACTCCTATTATTATCTTATTTGATGAAAAACAACTCGCTCAATACTTCTGAAATGCTAAGATTGGGAGGATATGACATGTTAAATTATCATTTCCTTTCATCTAAAGATAGTCAATTTGAAATTACTCCATCAGTTCTATTAGCACTTTTAGTAATGTGTGGACTTGATATTCCAAATGATGTCATAGTCAATTCAGTGAATCTTAAGGTGAGAGATATTTGTAAGCGCGGAGTTATTAATAATTTTATGGCATTTGAAAAACTCTTATTAGATTATAGAATTTGGCATACCAATGCTAAAGTTGATACTTTGAAGAAAATGTTAAAATGTTTGGCAGAGTTGGTTTCCTCTTCATTCAGATCTAAAGTTAATGAACATCACCGTGCTATTTTATTAACAACGGCAAATGGTGTTAAAAGATTGCTCTTTGCCATGTCTCAATCATATGTAGTTGGTGAAAAGATTGATTGGCCAATTAAGATTATTAATCCAACCATCAAGATTCTCAAATGCATCATTCCAACACCAATTTCAATGACCTACGTTTATCCAATTGTTCAATATATTATTTTAACTCATCATCAAGATTATGCTCAATGGATGAATGAAAATAATATGAACAACAATTACATGCCACAATTAACAACAACAACAACAATAGGAACAAGTGAAGATGGTTCTAATAATCATCTAGACAGTCATTATGGAAATGTTGAAATTATTGAACCAAGAAAATCAGTATTGAATATGTTCTATAATTTGATAGAAGAGGCACCTGAAGATGTGTTGGAAGATTTCCACTCTGTTTTGCCAACAGGACAAATTATTGCACTTTTAAATACCAAATCAAATCTTATAAGATGTATTCTATTGAAAATGTTAGGAGTTTACTTGTCGAGAAAGGAAACACTCAAAGATCAATTTATTAAGAGTAATGCTGCTCATTTATTGACATTACAATTGTTAGAAGTTGGAAATCCTTCTCTCTTAGAATTCCAAGTTATGTTTGATTTAATGTTGGGTCTCTTCAATAATAATACGACAACTGCAGCAGCTGCTGATTATTCAAATGATTATATAGCATCTCCTGTTAAAACGAGACGAAACAGTATAATTCTGAGTTCTGGTGCCACAAGTGGTGGTATTGATTCAATCGATGATTTATTAGAATTAGGAGAGGGTGATGATGATAAGACAGCCCTCCAGAGAACATCACTTTTCCTTCCTACCTCAATTTCTCATGCAGCTTTCTTATTACCAAAATCTACATCAGGTTCTTGTTCTTCTAATGGTAGAGATTCTTCTGATTCTTCACCAACAAAGAAGAGATCAAGATCAGTTTATTTCAAATCCATGAATGCTGCTACAATTGCTTCATCACCAACCAATACAAACACCGCTCTCAACTCTACTGCAACTAGTAGTAGTAGTAGTAGTACTACTTCTGGAAAATCGCTTCATATTCCTAGTAGTAGTGATAGTCCTATGGGATTTACAAACTATAATACTACACCAAAAGGTAGTAGTAGCAGCAGATATATCACTACTAATAGATTGAAGAATTCAATTTCTCTCATTAAATATGAATTCTCTCAATTTGAATTCAGAGAATTCCTCACACCAATTCTAAGACTCATACCATGTATTAAAGATATTGAGGAGAAGATTAACGTATTTGAAACTATTTGCAGACTTTTCAAGAATGGTGGTGAAAAATTGAAGTTATACTTTTATGAAATCAAGGCTCATTGGTATATTCAAGTTTACTTGTCAAATTTACCAAAGGATAATCCACATACCAAAAAGTTTATCAAACTCACATTGGACTTTATTATTGATTATGTTAATTATAGTATTTTAAATATTCCTAAACAATATTTGGGTCAATATGGTCTGAAAGGAAGTGTTGAAATATTGACAAATATTTTACAATACCTTTTAGTGATGGAGAAGAGTTCTTATGATATTATTTTCATTCAAAATATGCAAAGATATATTTTACAAGGTGTTCTTGCCTTCTTCCAAAAGAATTATCTCTTCCATGAAAAATCCAAAACCTTGAAGAAGGATAAACAACTTCAAAAGAAGGAAAAAAAGATCAAAGGCCATTTGAGTGCTGTTTTCATTTCATTCTGTACTTGTGCAACTGACTATATTATTCAGTGGTTCGATTTACCTCCAGAACCACCAGTTACCAATGAGGAAACCACAACAGGCAAGATAAGTATGATGGGGTCATCTGCTATTGCACAAAAATATGGAAATATCAGTGGAACAAGAAGAAACATTACTAGAATGTTTGACGATTCTTCAAATAATTCTTTGAATACTACTACTGGTTCACATACTCTGAAAACCTCAACTAGTATGATATTCGAAAAACAACACATTGAGGATGAATCTCCAACAGTTCAATCAGAATCTAATAATACTGAAGACAACCCTCAACTTTCCCAATTCAAAAATGTTCAATTTATTGATAATTATGTGGGAACTGATGATACAACTCAAACCAAAACAGTCAAGATTCAACAAGATCAAGCTTGGGATCAAAGATCACTCTCTTCCAAGATATTCCACAATTATGAACGTACACTTTCACAAGATGCATCTTCATCATCAGAAGAGGAAGAAGGAAATGATTCAACTCTCTTTTCACACAATATTCATGATATTTCAGGATTTATTTATTGGTTCATTGATTCTATTCGTAAATGTCTTGTTATTCAAAAGAAGGGATCATCAAAATCAAGTAGAACTGGAAGTTTCTATGATGAAAATCAAGATTTCACACCAATTACTACACCTGAATTTATTCTAGTAGAACAATTGAAGAGAATTTTCATGTTCTTATTGGATTCTAAACGTTCCAAACCTGATCATATATTCACACTTCTCCAACTTTTATACTTCTTCCCATTCCATAGTGAATTGATTATTCATGATCTATTACAAGAACCACCAGGTTATCAAGAGATGGTTAATTGTGGAAAGCTTTTGAAGAGTTTCTGTTCAGATACCAAGTACATTACCAGATTATTATTTAGAACTGCAAACTTGTTTGATAAGACTGATACTATTCTACCACAATTGAATAGAAAAGTTTGGAAAGTAATAATTTCAACATGTAAAGATTATTTGAAGAAGAATATTTTCCCAAAAACATTTGATCCAAATGATCCAGATTTTGTGAGTATGGTTGAAGAAGCTTCAACTGTTTCGGAGAATATTTCATCACTCATCTTTGAACCAAGTGTTATTGATCAAGTGAGAGAATGGGAATCTAATGAATTTTCAACCTTCAACTCTAAATTAACTGCTGTGACAGAGGTAATTCTAAAATCAGAAGAATCAGACAAGAAGAAGGATTCAAATATTAGAAAGAATTTAAGAAATGAACAAACACAATTAGAATTGAATAAGATTAAATATATGAAACCACACATGCTCAAATTGAAATCAATTAAGGATACAGATTTACAAGCTAGAAAACAATGGAAAATGCTTGTCAAGTTCATTCAAGAAGATGTCAGCTCCTTCAATGTTTATTTCCACACCACCAATTCATATTGTGATAAAACAATCAAGACAAGATCAACCATTACAACAACAAGAAGTCACGTCACTAAAGAAAATGATTATCACAGATTATCATTCTCTCCATATGATGATGAAACATTTGAAAATGTTGACTACAAGTTAGATTCAACATCTGGTCCAAATCGTGTCAGAATGAGAATGAAGAGACAATTGAAAAAGAGACCATTCAATATTGATGAATTCCAAAGTGAAACTCAATTAACAAATGTTCAATCATCACAAAAGAAGAGATCAGTCAAATTTAGTGAGATTACAACTGTTCATGGTGGAAATGGTAGTAATACCAATTTGAATAATTCACAAGATGATGATGAAGTAACCAGTTCTTCAACTACAACAACAACAACATTGAATGAGAACTCTTATCACTTGTCAATTTCAACAATTATTTTAGAACCAAAGAAGTGTAAGAGAATTACACCACTCAGAATTACGGAGGGTGATTTGATTTTAGGAGAAGATGGTGTCTACTTTATTGCTTCTTGCAGTTATCCATTGACAATTAGAACTAATTCTTCCTCTACAAATCATTCTAAACAATTGGAAATGAAAAAGACTTATAACTTTTCCTATGAAGAAATTAGAGAAATTCACAATCGTAGATATTTACTCAAGAACAATGCTTTGGAATTCTTCCTATTGAATGGTAAATCATTCTTCTTTGCATTTGATGATGGTGAAACAAGAGATAGAGTATTATCAATCCTTTCATCTCCCTCCTCTAGATTTAATTATCTAAGTTTAACTCCAAATTTGAACTTGTTAAATTTAGTTAACTATGAAGAAGAAGTTAATGGAAAACTAATCTTTAAGAAATCAATTACTCAAAAATGGGTTGAAGGTACAATTAGTAACTTTGAATATCTTATGCATTTGAATATTCTAGCTGGTAGATCATTTAATGATTTGACTCAATATCCAGTCTTTCCATTTATTTTAAGAGATTATGATAGTAAGGAACTTGATTTATCAGATCCAAATACATTTAGAGATTTAAAAAAGCCAATGGGTGCATTGAATGAAAAACGTTTAGAAAAGATTATTCAACAATATGAAAATTTGAAAGATGTTGAAGATCAAATTCCATATCACTATGGAAGTCACTACTCTACTCCAATTGCTGTATCTTATTATCTTGTGAGAATGGAACCATTTACTAGAATTTTCTTTGAATTCAATGATGGAAAATTGGATTTACCAGATAGAACATTCCACTCCTTAAAGAAATCTTGGGAATTATCATCAGGAGAAACTCAATCCAAATCAGATTTCAAAGAACTTACTCCAGAATTCTTCTACTTGCCAGAATTTTTACAAAACAGAAATCGTATTGATTTTGGTATTTTACAAAATGATAAGAGTTTTGATGATGTAGAATTACCACCTTGGGCTAATGGTGATCCTGTTTTATTTATTAGAAAGCATAGAAAAGCTCTTGAATCTGACTATGTTTCTCGTAATTTACATCACTGGATTGATTTAATATTTGGTTACAAACAACGTGGAGAATCTGCTATTAACAGTTACAATGTATTCCATTACATGACTTATGAAGGTTCTCTAACTGATGAAGTTGATTTAATTGATGATCCAATTACAAGAGAAGCCAGATGGACTCAAATCTGTACCTATGGTCAAACTCCAAAACAATTATTCAAAAAAGCTCACCCTGAACGTTATGCTACAACTAATCTTATGGGAGGTGAAGAAGATACTATCAATGTCATTCCAATTACAAATTACATTTTCAAAGTTGCAAATGAATTATCTCCTGGAAATATTAGAATATTCAAAGAACCTGTTGCTGATATTTATATTAGAAATGATCAAACAACTCACAATAATAGTGTTATTGCTGTTGGAAAGTATAAGATTTTCATTCCTCCAAGTGGACAAGAACGTAGAAATTCACCTGTTTATCTATCTTATAGACATTGGGATAAAACATTGAGAATTGAAAAGTGGGATAATGGAAAGCAATTACACATCTTCCACTTTATGAATCAACCTGAAATTTACAAATGTGCCAAATTCTCACGTGAAGGTGATATGCTAGTTGTTGGTACTAATATTGGAGCATTGCACGTTTTTAGAGTTAACAATAGAATTAAGATTCACAATAAGAATACTCCAGATACAACAAATGTTAATACTGATAAGGATAACAAATTCTTGGACCATGTTGCAACTCTGAGTGGTCATTCTGATAGTGTTTTATGTGTTGCCATCTCAACTGAATTTTCAATGATTATTAGTGGTTCTCGTGATTCTTGTATGATGATTTGGGATTTGAATAGATTTAGATTTGTTAAATCAATTAAGCATGATGGTAAAGTCACGTGCATTGCCACTTCACCAACAACAGGTGATATTGCCTCATTCTGTCAAAACAATGTAAATGGACAAAATCACTTGTATTTATGGACTGTTAATGGTGATTTGATTTCATATTGCAACATTAGAGCAAAGATTACATGTATGAAATTCACCTGGATGGATGAAGGTATCAATCAAAATGTTCTTGTTTGTGGTTTGGCCAATGGTACTATTGCTATATTGGATGCTTTAGGTTTGAAGGTTATTTCTAAACTCAAAATTACTGACTATACTTCACCAATTAGATCAATTGAAATTAACTCTCCAATGACAGAGATTGTTGCTGGTGACGACAGAGGTTTTGTTGTGAGTTGGTACAAGAAATAAAACAATAAATTTGACTTGATAATAAATTTAATCCTCCAAAATTGATTTGATTTTGTTGTCTGTTTCTTTTAATAAACCTTTCTTAATATTATTGAGCTCGTGATAAATTAATTTGAAAACATCATCACCCAACCTCACAAATGTGTAAACTTGTGTGAATTGAATAAATTCATCCAAACAATCTCTCTTAGCTGCAATCATTGCCTTAAAGTATGCTGCCACAACTTCTTTTGTGAATTGGAACTCTTCAGTCTTGGCACGTCTCATTAATAAATTAGCATCAATATAATTACCAGTCTTTTCGAAAATATTAAACATAATGATCAAGGTTTCCTCGTTAAATTTTCCAATGTGATGGAAAATTGTTTCAACTCTATCAAATCTTTCCTTAATCAAGCAATATTTCAATAGACAATTTTGAATTTCCAAAACCTCAGTAACTCCACTCAACCCTACCAAATCATGGGCGACTTCAAAGATATCAATATATTTACCAACTCCAGGAATTTTAGATTGAACTGAAGGATCGAATATATTCACATCTTCATTCAAAAATTCAAGGAATAACCTTATATAAACTTGATTGATATTTCCATTATTTAAAATGTTTTGGAAAATCTGTGCAAGTTGATCCTTGTCCATGATTCTGATAGCATTAATAATAGATTTAAATACCAATGGATGATTATAGAAAAATAGTGGTTCTACATTTTGAGTATCCGCCAGTAATACTTTGAAATTTTCAAACAAATTAGTTGGAAGAGCCTCTACATCAAGTACAAATGAATTGGCATACATGTCTCTTGTGTATTTTTCCCAATTTCCTTTTGTAAATAATTCATCTTTGAATGTGTCCTTCACCAAATTGAAGAAGGAATAAATTAATTTAGATGTTCTATTGTTGTATAAATTACTACAAATGCTCTTGTACATTTGTAAAGTTGGCAATACTTCACCTGTTTGTAATTTAGTTAATAGAGGTTTAATATCATCATACATTGTTTCCTTTTCCATAAATTTGAAAATAGCTTCAAAAACCTCAACAGTATATAATGAAATTGGTCGATTAATTAAAACTTCTCTAAAAATTGAAATACCCATATTATAGAATTGACATCTTCTCTCACCAAACATTTCATATAATTTAACAATATAAATTTCATTGGATTTTCCTTTAAATACCTTTTCAAGTGCACCTCTATGTTGTTTCACTTGTTTATATTGAGATTCAATAGTACTGTGAATATTTCCTAAAATTGAAATTTTAAATAAATAAATATTCAACTCTGCAATGACATTCTTTGATTCCTCACTATTTTCAACCTTTAATTGATTGGTAATCTCCTTACTGACAAAGTATGATTTTGATACAAATTCATTATCCACCAAACTAGTATTTTGTTCAACCATCTTTAAAGTACCATGTAAAACATTAACAATAGAATTAACATGTTCCGAAGCGTTAAATGTTTTTCTATTTAAATGTTCATGTAAATCTCCAACTGTAAGTGATGAAACATCAATTATACTTTTGGTAGAATAATTTAAAACTCCCTCTCTACTATTGTAATTATTAGTATTAGCATTATTAGAAATATTTAATGATGATAACCATCCAGACTTGGCATTCACTCTTCTTCCGATAATTGATGATGATGATGATGGAGTGAGAATTTTCAAAGCCTTGACCTATTTAATGCTAAAATTGATGTTTTCATTTTTTTAAAGTTTGCAAATCATTTTAATATATAATTTAAATAATATATTATTTAATACAGTGTTTGATGTTAAATTACAATTGCTTCTTTATTGAGAGAATATCAGTGACTGGAATGTTCTTCACGCAACCAGTAAAAGTGAGAGAAGGTGTTTTTTTGTGTGAAGAAATTTCTTCAATGGACAAGTATTTCAAATTTTCTAAAGTTGTCTTATCTTCAAACATTTTCGAAACTCTTCCCATAATGATTTTGCTTGTTGGTGCACCAACATTTAGTTGTTGAGATTGAGGTATTTTAATTTCCAATTGACAAACATTTCCAACTGAGAGCATTAATAATGATCCACTTCCAATAATACATGATGAATAGTAATCATAGTGATTGGATGGTGGTGATTTGTAATCCTTCATAGCCCATGAAAATGTCAAAGATTGAATTGTTACTGAATTAGTTTGTTGTTGTGAATTAGTTTGTGAGAGAGGATTTGTTAATTTTTCAATGTAACAATCATTATCAATAGTGTTGACTTGATCATCATTTTCAACATAATATCCACATCTTTGTTTGAGTTCTTTAGCGTCACGAACAACAAAAACTCTTCCAGTAATTGTATTAAGAGGAATTTCACCCTCTAAATCTGTCATATATCTTCTGAAATCATCCTTCTTTTTCATTAAATCCTCTCCTACTACACCCATCATTGATTTAACCTCTTCATGGGATCTCAACATTTGTACTTTACATTTCTTAATATTTCCCATAAAAGTACAAGAATAAACACTTGTAATTTTACCTTCATGAATAGTTGGAGGTTCAGTTTGACTCACAAAAATGTTAAACTGAATAAAGTCTCCAATCCAAAACATTTGTTCCCTAACAATTTCATTGTTAGTCGACTTGTATGTTCTTTTAAAGCCTTTATAATATTTATTTCCGTCCTTTTCTGTTAGAAAGGTATGAAGAGTATCTTCGTATGTGACGGAATTTTGTGATAGATTAAATACTTGTTGATTTGTTGTGGTTGTTGTGGATGGTGTTGGTACCATAATCGAAGAATCAAAATCAAATGATTGTGGCACTGTACCACCTTGAATAGGATTTGATGAAGATAAATCGAATGAAGTCATTTTTTTTAATTTTTATTTGAATGGCGGGAAATTTTAACTTAACGTTCACAAGGCTGATATAAAATTCTATCGTCATATTTCCATCATTTAAATTAAATCTAACTTGGTATTGTTCCAGCATTAACCACCTATAGTTTTATTCCATCATTAAAAGTCTAATTTATAGGCTTTACAAAATTTAAAAACTTGAACCAGAGTTTGCAATGCCTCTCAAATAAGTCTTTGGTTCGGAGAGGATTTTGTTCCTTCAAAAAAATGTTCAAGTCTACTGCTACTTCCACCCGTTCTGTTCTTCGCTCTGCTGTTCAAAAGCAAAGCATTGTCTCTTGCAGATCATTCCACCAATCTGCCATGTTGAATCAACACAGAGAAAAATTACGTATTGGTTTTATTGGTCTTGGTCAAATGGGTGCTAGGTAGGTATGAATTTAGGCTTTTCCGATACATGATATGATTAATTATCAATAATAACAAATAGAATGGCTCCTAATCTCCTCAAGGCTGATTCCAACGCTTATGAAGTTTTTGCCTATGATGTTATGGATTCTAATATTGAAATGACCACCAAGAAACAATCAAAGATTAATGCTTGTAAATCTATCGATCAAATTATGCAACAAAATCCAGATTGTGTTATTACCATGTTGCCAACAACCAAGATTGTCACTCAAGTTTATGATGAAGTTGTTTCATTAAAGAAGAAATATGGAGCTTCTGAAAAAATTAGAACTGTCTGTATTGATAGTAGTACTGTTGATCCAAAGACTGTTCAAGATATTGAACAATTAATCAAGAGAGAACAATTGAATATGAGTGTAATGGATGCTCCAGTCAGTGGTGGTGTTAATGGTGCTGAAAATGCAACCCTTACTTTCATGGTTGGTACTGATAATAAGGTTGATTTTGAATTTGCTCAAAAGAATATTCTCTCAAAGATGGGTAAATCAATTGTTTTGTGTGGAGAAAAAGTTGGTATGGGTCAAGTTGCCAAATTGTGTAATAACTTGGTTTTGGGTATCTCAATGGCTGGTGTCAGTGAAGCTTTAGTTTTGGGAACCAAATTGGGTATGGATCCAAAGGTTTTGAGTCAAATCTTTGGTACCTCAACTGCTCAATGTTGGTCTGTTACTGCTTACAATCCATTCCCAGGTGTTATGGAAAATGTTCCAAGTAGTAGAAATTATGAAGGTGGTTTTGCTGTCAATTTGATGTTGAAGGATCTTGGTTTGGTCAATAGTGCTGCTAAGAATATTGATTATGATTTGGCTATGGGTCAACACGTTCAAGAATTGTACAAGCAAGCTTCTGAACATGGATTGGGTGGTAAAGACTTTGGTGCCATTCTCAAATATTTCCAAGAACAATTAGAAAACAAGCAAAAGTAACTCAATAATTTCAAATTTTATTTTTTAATTTATTTTTTTTAAAACACGTTTTTGGCTTACTTTGATCAACATAATTCTCTACTACAATCGAGTTGATCAGTTAATTGTATTCCCATTATGATCATAATGAAATAAGAGAGCTTCCTGATTGTGTCTGTCCTATACCACCCAACTTATCTGAAATAAAGGTCGTGTTCTTCATAAGAAGATCTGAAGAGAGAAAATTTGATCGTCATCATCAAGGCACAACAACAATAACAATAAAAAAACAACTAAAAAAATGCTTTCACAATTGTTCTTCATACCTACACGTAAAAAGGACATTCTTCTGCGTATAGCAATTCTCGCAGCCATCTACGTCTTGGCTTTCTGTGTGAGGCTTTTTTCAGTATTTAGATATGAAAGTGTTATTCACGAATTTGATCCATACTTTAACTTTCGTTCAGCTAAATATTTAGTAGAAAATGGATGGTATGATTTCTACAATTGGTTTGATGATTTCTCATGGTACCCAATTGGACGTGTGGTCGGAGGTACAGTATATCCAGGTATTCAAATCACTGCTGCTTTTATGTATTGGATTTTAAGAGCCATCAATTTTACAGTAGACTTGAGAAATGTTTGTGTTTTGACTTCTCCATTCTTTGCTTCCAACACTGCTATGATTACTTATGCTTTTACTAACGAAATTTCCGGACCAAGTGCTGCTTTGGTATCATCAATTTTAGTTGCTCTTGTTCCTGGTTATATTTCTCGTTCTGTTGCTGGTTCTTTTGATAACGAAGGTGTTGCCATCTTTGCTTTGATTTGTACCTTCTACCTCTTTGTTAAGAGTGTTAGAACCGGATCACTTTTCTGGAGTGCTGTAGCTTGTTTGTCATACTTTTACATGGTCAACGCTTGGGGTGGTTATGTTTTCATTATTAACTTGATTCCTGTCTATGTTTTAGTTTTATTAGTTACAGGAAGATTCTCCCATCGTTTATATGTTGCTTATAGTTCCTTCTATATTTTAGGTACATTGTTATCAATGCAAGTTAGATTTGTTAATTTCCAAGCTGTTCAAACAAGTGAACATTTGGGTGCTATGGGTGTTTTCATCTTACTTCAACTTGTTAACTTTGTTAATTGGATTAGATCACTTCTTGATGCTAAAATGTTCCAAAGATTATTCGGATTTGTTGTTTCTTCCTTTGTTTTAACTGCTGGTTTGGCAATCTTGATTGGAAGTGCTACTGGTTATATTGCTCCATGGACTGGTAGATTCTATGCTATGCTTGACCCAACTTATGCCAAGAAACATATTCCAATTATTGCTTCTGTTTCTGAACATCAACCTACAACTTGGGCAAGTTTCTTCTTTGATTTACACATTTTGGCTTTATTGTTCCCTGTTGGTTTGTACTTCTGTTTCCGTGAATTGACTGAAGCTTCCATCTTTATCATTATGTATGGTATGTTCAGTGTTTACTTTGCAGGTGTCATGGTTCGTTTGATCCTTGTCCTTGCTCCTGCTGCTTGTGTTCTTTCTGGTATTGGTATTTCCAAGACTTTGAAGACTTACATGAGAGCTCTCAAAGCAAAGACTCCAAAACAAGAAACAACAACAACTGCTTCTCAAGATCCAAAGAAGAAGTCATCAACTCCAGAAAAGCCATCTCAAAATCCACTTCCAAAGGAAATTGCTGCTATTATGGTTATTGCTATGACTTTCCTTTTGACTTTCTATGTTATTCACTGTGTTTGGGTTACTTCTGAAGCTTATTCTTCACCATCTATTGTTTTGGCTGCTCGTGGTCACAATGGTAGAAGAATTATTTTCGATGACTTTAGAGAAGCTTATTATTGGTTGAGTGAAAATACTAAACCAGATGCTAAGGTCATGTCTTGGTGGGATTATGGTTATCAATTAACTGCTATGGCTAACAGAACTGTTTTGGTTGATAACAATACTTGGAACAATACTCACATTGCTACTGTCGGTAGAGCTATGGCTTCTAATGAAGCTAAGGCTTACAAGATTATGAGAGGACTTGATGTTGATTACGTTTTGGTTATTTTCGGTGGTGTTACTGGATATGCCTCTGATGATATCAACAAATTCTTGTGGATGGTTCGTATTGGTGGAAGTTGTTACTCTGAAATTAAGGAAGCTGATTATTTGTCTCCAAGAGGTGAATACAGAATTGATGCTGGTGGTTCTCAAACCATGTTGAACTCATTGATGTACAAATTGAGTTATTACAAGTTTGGTGAAATGACCACAGAATATCAAAGACCACCTGGATTTGATAGAGTTCGTCAAGTTGAAATTGGTAACAAGCAGTTTGAATTGGAACATATGGAAGAAGCTTTCACTTCTGAACATTACATTGTTAGAATCTTCAAGGTTAAGAAGGAATCTAACAGATCATAAATTGTAATCTTTAAAACTCTTGATATTTATATTAGTGAAATAACATTAATAAACAAAAAGTATATTAAATTACTGAACTATTTTTTTCACAATGCAATTTTCAGCTTACATTAACACAACGAACTGATAATAAGAGAGATATAGAATTTGATTGAAAATTATTTTGTAATAATTTATAATAAATTAAAATTGTGTTGGTGGAATTAGTTAAAAAATTAGGGAGGGAGATTTAGGAATATTATACAATGTCTTCACTATTTACAATATGTACAGATGCTTCTTTCATTTCTTGGAGGGCAATTTTTACAGAATCTTGTGACACTCCTCTACTAGCATCTTTGATTAAAAAAGTATTGTACCCCAGAGAAACAGAGTCCAAAGAGGTATATTTTACACAAACATCAAGAGCAACACCAGCAATATATGTATCAGTAATGCCATGGCTCTTAAGTATCTCGTCTAACTTGGTTTGATGTTTCTTATTATTATCGAAAAATCCACTGTATGAATCAACGTTGGTATTGCAACCCTTTTCTACTACAATATCATCATCTTCAACGATGAGATCAGGATGAAATTCGGCACCTCTAGTTCCCTGCACACAATGCACAGGCCACATAATTTGTTCAGTTCCGTCTTCCATAATCTTTGTTGACATTACAGGCATATCGTGATTAACAGCAAAACTGATATGGTTTCTAGGGTGGAAATCTTGGGTGAGTACGATCAAATCCCAATTTACTGATTGTCTAATGTTATTAAATACTTCAATCACATCATTAGCATTATCTACAGCTAACGATCCTCCTTCCAGAAAGTCATTTTGTACATCTACTATAATCAAGGCTCTCTTACGGATCCTTCTTGGTGTTGGTTGTTCAACGGCAAAGCCATTGTTGAGGTGTAAGTTATATGTTGTGGTCATGTTTTTTTTTAGTTGAAGTTCTCTGTCATTGCATTCCTCGCTTGCTGATAAATTGCATTTGATGCGTTATTTTCGCTCTGAGAATTGAGAATTGGATATATTGGAACTTCCTTCAACGCATGGAAAATTGATGATCCAAGCCGTTTAAAAATAAACAAATGACGATGGCGGGAAAGTCACAGAGATGAACATTGAAATTCTCATGAAACCTTGCATAGGGCTTTGAGAATGAAACTTGTCATCAATTAGCATGGGTAAAAAGATGTAAATTACAACTTGTAAATAATTAAGTAACAAATTGTAAATAACACAAAATGTTGAGAAAGATGAAGTTTCAATTTCGATTGTAAAAAGATGATAAAGAAAATGTTATACCAAAATTTGCACCAACCAATGCAACATAGAATGTTCAATAAATACGAAGGTGATCAACCCTTTCAATTTCTTCAACAAACCTTACTGAACCAACAATCTCTCACCTGTAAAAAATCTTGTTTTTGACAATAATTGTAATACAATGGAAAATCTCACTGTATATCGGGCTGATTAGAGGAAAATTAATGATGAAGAATGTGATGATACAAGCGCGTAGCGAAACAATACCAATCCAAACAAGGTTGCATACGCTGATTGGCTTCCTTATTTAATGATGTTACCTTAAAAATCCTTAATGATTCAACACCATTGAGAAAATGGAATCAGTTTTATTGGAGTATTGGTATTTTCCTCTCTTCTTTGATTAGATTATAACAAAACAACTTGAAGAGAAGTCATGCTTAAGTTGTTAATTGTTTTGTAAATAGATGGAAAATGGATTTTATGTTAAATGAATGACTACTTTCATGTACTATTTAAATATAATTGATTAAATTTGATCTCATAACCTTGCATCTAATAGTATCTGATGATTGCAATACATTTTTTAAGCTATTAATTCCTTAATCAAGATTCAATTTAAACATGAGATTCAAAATTATAAGGATATTGCAAAACGAAATGATATTGCAACACTATTGTATCCAAAGATTATAGTGCATTGTTTATATCATCGTTGATTTCTTTTACCTGCCCAACAATGTAACCCGCCTTCATCATGATGATGGATCGGAGTGGGTTGTATCTTGTACAGCACCACGAATAGTTGTGTCGTCTTCCTTAAAAGAAACTTTAAATTTTCTCCTCCTCGATCAGTGAAAAAAGCATTAACAATCACCAAATTAACAACCAAACAAACACACGAACAGGAGGCGCCTCACAACTTCTTTATTAAAAAAGAGAATCACACAATATTTCATCACCATCCTTTCATCAAAGATATCTGTACGCCTCTTGAAAAACAATAGAGAAAATGATGGATCAAGTTATTAGATATTTAAAAGATTGTGGTTTTGGATCGGACCAAATTAAACAATTATTAAGCGATAAGACAACCACTAAACAGTTTGAAGGAAGCCTTTCAAAATTATTAGAGACTCACTTTGATGAAAAAAAGAAGGAAACAATGCAACAACAGGAAAAGGTCTAAATTAGATGAGTTTAACAAAGATGTACATTAGGTTTTAAAATTTTGTAGAGTTTAAAACAATGAAAACACACTATTTGCCAATCATAATATTCAATCTATTAACAAATTGTTGATAATAACACACACTTGAAGAATAATCCATAGCTATGGTCAATCGAAGCCAAACAATTTGTATAAATATGTTGATATAACAAAAAATTATTATCTTTTAATTGTAAAATTATGACTTCTTAATTCTTTTAAACAAAAAAAATGTCTCAAAAAGAACAAGAAGATAATCTCCTTCACAATTTAAAAGATGTTGGTTTGTCTTCGGATCAAATTTTCCAACTCTTGATGGAGAAGGAAAAAACCCTTCAAAAACAGGAAGAAAGAAAAATCAAGGAATTAGAAAGTAATGGCAGACAAAGTACAAGCACTAGCCAATGCACAAATTCTAATCAAGACAATATTAGTAGAAAGAGAACACTTGAATCATCTCCAGCCATGTTATTAAATTTAATTAAGAAATCTAAGCGGAATGGTAAAACCTTGATGGATTTGTGTAACGATGAAATATTATTGATTTTTGAATATCTTTCAAACTTTGATGTATTTAAAATGTCACAATTATCTAAGGGATTTAGAGATTTAGTTGAACAAGTCAATGTATTACATTTGGTTACAAAAATAAGAAGTTCTACACTAATTCATTTTATGAACAGTAGATATTTTTATAATATTCAAAAATTAATTATTGATATCACTATTCCTCATATTATTGCACAATCTGTTTTGACTTATTGTAATTCCAATAGATTGAAGGAACTAAAACTTACTGTTGATGATAACTCTGAAGACACTCTTTCATTTTCCCAGTTCAAGGAATCATCATTCAAAAATTTGGAGAAGTTACATATTATTTGTGGAGAAAAATACGTAATCCAGTTGGATAATATCGAGCTATTCAATCTAACAGATTTGACAATTGATGGCGCTTGTTGCCCATTTCAATATTATTTAAATAAGCATGTTAACAATATCACTAGATTGCATTTGGAAAAGGTTGAACATTGTACATTATCTGAACTTCCACTTGTTGAACTTAAACACTTAACTATAAGGGACAGTAATTTATCAATAACAACTATTGCAAGCTTGTTAAATAATTCGGAATATTTGGAATATGTTAATCTCTTTAATGTTTATGGATTCGATAGTGATGAAGAGGACGAAGAGGAAGAGGACGATTCAATAGAAGTAGAATTACCTTCTTTACAAACTTTAATCATTAACAATGTTTGTCATACATTTACTTCTCTAATATTTAAATCAGAGATGCCAGATTTGAATTATTTCACAATTCAAAAGATGTTGAAATCAGATGCAGAAATATTAAAGGACAATGCATCTATTACATCTTTGAAAACGCTAAAAGTCGAGGAAGGGATTGAAGAAGGAGCCATGTCACTATTAGTGCAGTCTAGTACCTTCTTCAACGAAATAGAATGTATACGTATGGAATTTAAAAGTGAAACAATAGATCCTAAATCTTTAGTGTATATCTCAAGCAAGCCTAATTTATTTCGTAACCTTACTGAATTGGTTTTACATACAATTGATGGCGGTAGTACAATGGAAGGATATCAATCCTTCTTTACCTCTAAGAATATTTCTAATATCAAAAAATTATCTTTGGTATGTCCATGGGATTCTCAAGATTTGATTTTTTTAGCCAACACAACAGTTTTACCAGAGTTGACCAGACTAACCATTTTCGATACTCTCTATTATGAAAAATTTAATGATGATTTTTTCTCTACCTTTGCTAAAAATAGTAATTTCAAAAACTTGGAGGAGCTGAGAATTAGTTTCATTAATGATGATGGTATTAGAGAAATTTTAGACTCTCGCCATCTTAACAAATTGAAAAAGATTGTTGTTAGTGAAATGGTTGTCACTGCTTGGGGATTCAAACAATTAGAGAATCGAGGATTGGAATGGACAACTTTTGAATCAATCAAAGAGGATTCTGATAGCGAAGAGGAAGAAGAAGAAGAGGATGATGAGAATAGCGAACAATAATTTTACTAATGCTTAATCAAACTGAAATTTTCTAGCGTTCATTGGAACTGAAACCACTCCTTACCTTTTCATCTATTATATATCATTCATGCTTGAATGTTAGCTCAACATTAGTCTTAGAATTAAAACATGCACAGAAAACCATCAATTGTTCTATTATACTATTTACATTTATTTACATTTTATTTGGTTTTAAGGTAATAATTACCAGCACTAGTGCCATTAGCAGAATTACAATTTCAAGAATTACTTTCATAAATCCCTTCTTAGTTTCTCCACCGTCATTTGAATCAAAGCTACTACTAGTATTCGAAACAGTTGATTCATTTCCATCACTGTCACTATCATCACAATTCTCAATCATTTTCAATATTGATAGCATGTAATATATTCTGATCAGTGGTTTGATTTTCACACCAATTGCCTTATTCAAAATCACTCGCTCAATAAATTTGGATTCCAAAATTGGTAGATTTTCTCCATATTTCAAAACAATTCCTTGTTCTTGCATGAATTGTTTTAGAAAATCTTGATTGGTGCAAAAGTTCAGTATTGTGCTAATGATATTCCTTGTTAAACATTCTTGAGCTGTATTTCCATTCCTAGATTCTCTAATATTTACATCAATTCCATTCTCTATTAAATATTTAACAATTTCAATACTATTGTAATGAGTGCAATAGTGTAACCATGAAAAATTGTGAGATTCTTCACAGATATCATTAATGTGAACTATTCCATTATCAATTAAGTATGTAGCACATTCCAAATTATTTACAAAACAACATTTTCTCATTGCTATCAATGGATTCAATCCAGAATCTATCAATACTTTCAATTCGTTCGCCTTCGTCTCCTTTCCAATACTTGTATCTTCAAGCATTTTACTATTTCCAGTTCCTTTATATCTTTCCTCTTCAACTCTATAACAAGTAATCATATTAGTAATTCTTCTATCTTTTGGAACTGACACAAAAACAGTC